CAGATTCACTCTCTGCCAGCAGGTGGCGCTTAAAGCGTTTCCTTGGTTTCCGCTGTAAACAAAGCAGCGCTGCACTTATGAACTTTAATATGCATTATACAGAGGCAAGAGGAAAAGAAAACATACCATCGAAAGACAGTAAGTTCCCCTCAGACATACATTCATATAAACTCCTACCCCTAATTGAATCGCGATTTGTTTAGCATCTCAACCGATTTGAATAGTCACATATTTAAATCGATTTTCAACAGGCTCGCGGTTAATCGTTACATCCCTAATTTATATAAAAAAAATAATTTTGAATATTACAAGAAAAGACATCACAGTTAGGTGAATTTAATGTTAAATTCCTATGAAATAATGTCTCTGTGTGTGTTTGTATGTATTTGTGTGTGTGTGTGTGTGTGTAGAAACAATTTTCACTTAAAAACTGCTAGTAAATTTAACAAACAATTACAATTAAACAGTAACACATTGAATTAAACAATGTTGAATTAGAAAAACAGAAACAGTATTTTCTTTTAAAACATACTTCAATTTATTTACAACTTAGAAAAATAATTTGTTTTACAATGGAAAATGCATAAAATCGTGACAATCGTGTACATTGTAGAAAGTAGTATTACGGACTGTTTTATGGTTCCACTTTCCAAAGCAAAGGTGGAAAAAGAGTGGGAAATGACCTTTATATTTGACCTTGATGTAAAGGTGATATCCTTTCCCACACTCTTTTTCCACCTTTGCTTTCTTTAATCTTGCATACTTTTTATTTTTATTTTGTGACATTCACCCCAGCATGGAGCCATGTAGTAGGACAGAACAGTTTTGTTTTGCATGCTTGTCATATCCCTTGTTTTGTTGTATCAGGTCGGAGGTCATCTGTAGAGACATGTGCTTTCTAGCGCCTCACCTTACTCTGTCGCCTTAGTTTCACTTGTGTAGGTGGAGTCCCGGTACAAAGAGTTAAAAGGCATATATCACACACGTAAGTGCTTGTGGTGTGGGCACGGACATGTAGGGGCCTGAACTCTTGTCTGAGAGGGCCACTCCTTTGGTTTGATTGCTATCAGAATACCACAGATTACGCAACAACACACACACCCTGAGTACGTGATGCCCGTTGTCTTCGTGAAACTCTTTTGTGGTCGTAGTACTTGAGCGGGGTGGAATGGAATGAATATGGATCAGTGCACTACATTGATCCATATTCATTTATTCATTCATTCATTCATTCATTCATTTACTGTAGATTTAAAAAATGAAAATGTACTCACCCTCATGTTGTTCCAAACATGTATCACCTTGGTATGTATGGGAAGTCATGGCCTAATGGTTAGAGAGTCGGACTCGTAACCCAAAGGTTGCGGGTTCGAGTCTCGTACCGGCAGGGACTGTAGGTGGGGGGAGTGAATGTACAGCGCTCTCTCCCACCTTCAATACCACGACTGAGGTGCCCTTGAGCAAGGCACCGAACCCCCAACTGCTCCCCGGGCGCCGCAGCAAAAATGGCTGCCCACTGCTCCGGGTGTGTGTTCACGGTGTGTGTGTTCACTGCTGTGTGTGTGCACTTTGGATGGGATAAATGCAGAGCACTAATTCCTAGTATGGGTAACCATACTTGGCCACATGTCACTTCACACTTTTTTTTTCTGACCACTTCTGTTGAACACAAATGAAGATATTTTGTAAATTGAGCTGGTTATTGTTTTCCATGCAGTTGCAATGAATGAAGACTAAAGGTCCATTCACACCAGAGATAATAACTATAATGATGTAGTTGTAAAAATCATTCTGAATGTAAAAGAATAGCAGTCCACACCACAACTATTATGATAATGACACAGAGTAACAATATTATTGCTTGGAATCACTTTCACAACATTTTTTTCCCCCACAAAATGATGAACAATAAAAACATTGAGAGCCAATCAGAATCAATTCTGCTTAAAAGAGCTCAAGCATTTAAAGCGGGAGATGACAAAGCTGCAGTGCGATTAACATAAACATAATTTACTCATGCCTTGTTGTGGACACTGATATACACTGCCATTCAAATCTTTGGGATCAGTAAGATTTGTAATGTTTTAAATGGAGTCTCTTGTGCTCATCAAGGCTTATTTATTTGATCAAAAATACAGAAAAAAAAAACAGTAATATTGTGAAATATTAATGCAATTTCTATATTAAAATTCCTATTTTAATATACTTTAAAATATAATTTATTCCTGTGATGCAGAGCTGAATTTTCAGCATCATTACTCCAGTCTTCAGTGTCGCATGATCCTTCAGAAATCATTCTAATATGCTGATTTATTATCAGTGTTGAAACTGTTGTGCTGCTTAATATTTTTTTGGAACCTGTGATACTTTTTTCTTTGATTCTTTGATGAATAAAAAGTCTTATAACGTTTTATCACTTTTTTTATCCATTTAACACATCCTCGCTTAATAAAAGTATTAATTTCTTAAAAATAAAAGATTGACTGTCCCCAAACTTTTGAATAGTAGTGTATATTGTAACACAAAATTTCTATTTTGAATAATTGCTGTTCTTTTTAACTTTTTATTCATCAAAGAATCCTGAAAAATGTAACTTACTATCCCTTTAAGAGCTAAAATCCCATGGGTCATATTCTTTACTAGTAAAATCACTTTGTCTCGAGCGGCTCATTGCTTTATTAACATAGTCGTCGTGCATTTTGGCAAGAAAATTCACACTTTGTGCCAATAGGACTTATATGTAGTCATAGCCCCCAAAGCATTGTCCTCCTCCTCCTGCCCCCCGAAACCTTTCGTCAGAATGTGGGGGTTTGGTGCTAATGTGTTGGCTTGTAACCCGCACTAACTCTAAATGGCATTCACATGTTAGGAGACGGCGTGCTGCTAGCGTGTTCGCATGACAGCCGTCTGGAGCAGCTGGGCCAATGCTACTCTATTAACACCTACCGTAATGGACCCTTTATCTAATCTTGTTAGGAGTCTCTCTTTACATTTCTTGCCAGTTAACCATGATTCCCCACCTCCTCCTCCTTTTTATCTCTTCACTTGTTTTTTTTCTTCATTCTTTCGGTATCCTGATATAAAGGTGATTTACTTTCCCACACCCTTTTCTTTCCTCCTTTTTATTCTTCTAATGTCATACAGCCAAAAATAAAAAATTAAATTACCAATTTCACCACCATTTTCCCCAGACCTCCTTAATTGCTGTAATAAGTGCGGTGTGAGGTGCCTCAAGGGTGTCTCCCAGTCCGTGTCTAATTGATTATAATGAACAGCTCCCCCATCAGCGGCGCAAACACATTCGTGTGAGCATGAGTCGGATGCAGTAGTGCGGTAATTGCAGTTGTTAACACCCCCAGCGGGTGTGACTGGATCAACGCTGTGAAAGACCCTGTGAATGATCTCTTCTGCCTCTCAGGAAATGTTACTGTTGTACAGAAACATGAATGGATATTGGATACTTGCAGATGAGCGTAGTAAAATAACTCCGGTTGTTTTATCTCTTATTTAAATATGATAAGAGCATTTGATGCTGAACCACAATATCATGGACAATTGAGGATGGGCTTTTTACATCTTAGCGACTGCAAAGCAATGCCCTAGCAACTATACACTTAAATATACACACAATGCTGGGTAATAACTGATCACATGTAATCTGGATTACAAAATCAAATTCCACAAAATAAGTACTTGTAATCAGACTGCAGTTACTTTTTATTGATTACATCGGTCTATAGGTGAGGCCACACAGCAAATTATTTAAATTTTAAGAAGTGTTTTCTCAACATTGCATCATTTTTTTATGACATTTTTTGTTTTAATTATTAGCTTTTCATTAAACTCTCAAACCCACTGCAGTTCCTTCATGAACCCTAGTTTAAGAAACCTTGACGTAATGTGATGTTTAATACACTTAATGTTAATAACAACGAATGTAATATATTTTCTTTCTCTTTGAATTTTCGTATCAATATGGTACAAGATTGTTATTTAAGTCAGTGTGATAACTAGTTAAGTCAAAGTAATCTAAAAATAATCAAAAACTAGTCAGATGTGTAATGGAATGGAATTTTCATGTAATTCAGAATCATTAATGGACTTGAAACTCTGCTGTCACTTTTGACAAACTGAAGGTGTTCTTGCTAAATTTGAAAGAAAGGAAAACAAATTTTAACGTTGAAAAGTTTAATATTGCACTTTTTATTTTTATTTGTTTTAGGGTGGAAGATCAGACAAAGAAGCTGCATAAAGACATGAAGAAAAGCACAGAGGCTGATTTAGGTTTGTGATGATTCCCTCTCCTCTCTGCTAATGTTGACTCTTTGCTAAATATAACTGTTGTAATGTCAAAATGAAACCATATACTGGTGTAAATTGGTAAAATCAATATAAGCTTCCATCAACACTAGACCTGCATTGAGCTGTCACATTTTTCACTTATGTATTTTTTCCTCTGATAAATCTATGGAATTCAGTGAACATTAATTTAACATTTTAAAATATGTATTACAGAGCTGAAATTAATACACTTTGGGTCACTGGGTCACTTTTTAAAGGAATGTCCTTCATCTAGTAAAACAACGTTTGTTGCACAATGCTGATTAACAGAAAATAATTTAAACTGCGGTTACATGATGCAATTTAAAATCTGAACAGATTGTAAAGCACTAGTTATCATACCCTTGCTGACTTTGTAAATAATTACAGAGGAAAAACTGTGCATCATAAACTAAATGACTGAGGATCACACACTTCCAGACTTTTCAAGTCGTTCCAAACACAACAAACTCATGCGGAAACATGCGCCTCAGATGAAAACACGTGACAAATGAAAACAATATGCGTTCTAAAATCAGTTCAAACTACCAAACATGTTTAATATCCTCTGTCTGGATAGAAGCTAAATAAATAAATAATAGTCTGAAGCTAAAAATGAGACTATTTTCTGTTAAATCTATCAACTCTGACTGCCGGATCTGCAGACTGACTCTGACTTTTTCCACCTATAGTGTCGGCGCATCCAAAAATCAGGAAATGTAGTGTATTCCAGCCCTTAAACGGTGCTTTACAGACAGTTATGTCATGTCTACTGGTCGACCGATATTGTTTTTTTGACAGCCAATGCCGATATCTTGGAAAGCAGGGTGTCCGATGGCCGATATATAGTGAAAATGACATGAATATGACAGTAGGCAAATACATAAAGCGCAGCATAATTCGAATTTAGTGTTTAAAGCATTCAATTTGCACGGACCGAAAGTCACGCAGAGAACATGCGATCATGCAGGTCACATGCACACTTCACAAGATCTCACAACTGGATTTGAC